CGAGGTTAGAACTTGCTGCCGCCGCATCAGCCGCCAGGGTCTACAAGCTATTTATTGAGGGTTTACCCAACTTCTCCGTTGCCACTCTCTGGACAGACTCTCAAATAGTGCTTTATTACATCAGTAACCAGACCGCGAGGTTTTGTACCTTTTTAGCCATTCGTTCGGAGTTTTGCCGGTTTGGTTGGTTACCTTGGTGCTCGATTACAGCTTGGGTTTGCGAAGTTACTAAAGGGTAGCTGATATGTCTTGACCTGAGTGACCGATTGGGGAGGGGGCAGATTTCTCGTGATGTCATTGATCTGTTCAATGCTGGTGCTACGCTGTGGTCACAGTCCCTGCATCCGATTGGTCAGTTGGGTGGCTTCTGTCCGGAAGAATGGTGATGGACAGTTGGCAAGCAAACCGCCAAGCTACGCAAAAAGATCAACAGCCACCTGATTTACAAATTAATGCACGCTAGCCACCTACTATGTGACCAAAGTAATACGATTGTAGCATACAACCTTCGAATTCAATGAACGCCCGTCCACATCCACCCAATATTTTATATACTGGGCTGTTTGGGTGCGTGGTGATCAAGGTTTGATAAAACTCGAAACGATTCGTGATAGCGCCGCACCATACCTTACTGGAAAGCGAGTAAAGCCCTTACGAAGAAAGTGATAGCCGAACTAATCCAACAGTGTTGATGCCAAACTAAGCCTATGATAGTTGGTTGTAAGTAACCAGTATAGTGAAAAATGACACGAGCTAATCGGGAGCGCCGGGGTCTGAGATGCAATAATCTAGGGAAACCATTTTAAAACTTACTACACATGACCGATGCCTGATATCCGTGGATGGTGTCGAGATCCAACCGACTTTGGTGAACGAGACAGGAATATAGTGTCTTTCGTAACCGGGTTTGGGTATCAGAGTAGCCAAACAACAATCAGATGTCACTGTTGAGCCATGTTGTTGCAATCGGCCTGGCTGCAGACGACCTGTTCGTAGTATTCGAAAGATAGAGGCATTCTTCGCAAGGTAATACCCTTCAGGGTATGTCTGAAGACGATGAAGATAGATAGGCAGGGTCCCTACCTAAGGATAGAAAACAAAGTGAGACCAATAAGGCGACTACGAATTTCTCAAAGTTAAAAATAATCCGATGCAATGAACCTGGTGAGAACTGAAACTGACCTATCTTAGTTCGGTAATGGCTACCTGTCTGGACCTCGGGAAGACCAAATGAATGCAGTCGTACGCACTATCGAGGGGCGAATAGACTTGACTTATGATTGACTAGCGCAGCCAAGAGTTCCCATCGGAGGAGCTTTTACAGGAGGGGTCATTAGCTAGGATTAACGTGCAAGGTTTGTAGCTGGTACACTTCATTACACAGTCGCGATGAGTATGATGGTCTTTTAAACTGCCACCATTGGGCTGGAAAACACACCCAGCTAAGTAAGGTTCGAGGACTGCAGCTAAAGAAGGACATTCAGGACGACAGAGTTTATGTGAGGTTAATCACGTGTAAATATGATATGATACATAAAAGATCCGGTTAAGTTTATTTGTTCAAAATCCCTCATAAAAATATTAGCTGAAACCGGAGATATTGAAGATCCCATTACAAGATTTTGTTCTTGTGGGTAAACAGCTAAGTAAAAAACAAAAAGGATAAGGTCCGAACAGGCTATAATACCATCACTCGTTATCCACCGAGAGCTGTCCGTTCATTGAGTGCTGTGCTTATCAGTAATAAAATCTTCGTCATCTCCAAGGCACCTGCCCTGGGGATGTTTGTGTACATTGCGATGAAATCAAGACTCACGAAGACTTCCCCTATCATCAAAGAAAATCGTGCAAGTTTACTGGCAAAATAGCACGAATTTCTAATTTAGGCGCCTGATTACCCCAAACATCATGATCGGTACCAATATCCCCGTCGACAGACTGGATCCCTGGAGGTTATTGCGGCTACAGCGACAGCGGCGCGTACTACAGAATGTTACAGCCACCTTGTTGGACGGGAGGGTTATTGAGGATGCTGAGGGAGACACAGGACAAGAGACATTCCGGAAACGCTTTGATAGACTGGATCTGAATGGACCCGGCATACTACTCTGGATGTCGTACTACCCGTGATACATCATGCCTTGGGACGGAAACCGATTGTCGAATGCCACAAGATGGCATACACACGATGCCCCAAAATACAAGACTGTCTTCGGCAGAGAGCATGCTTCTTAGGGATGAGAAGTGATGTAGTGAATTATGTTGTGGTCTATAAGCGGTGCCAACTGACGAAAGGGGGTATAAGAGGGATGGCTCACCTTACGGAACCCGTCCCCGGATCAGAGGTCGGAGAGTTAAGGTCCACCGACGCCATGAGGACCTTTCTGGTGAAAGCCAGTGATAATTACGGAACACCTCTTACGGTGGGCCTAAGCGGCATCCGCACCGTATCATTGGGCGACTACGGTTAGGGGAAGAATATTGCACCAGATCGTGGCAAACCACGGTGGATCAAAACTGATCATAATAGATCAGGGGCCGTGCTTTGAGAATGGAGAATTCAGAATTTGATTGCGATGGCTGGGTAACAATCGGATAAGGACGTTGAACTATCGCCCGATACAAATGAGCCAGCGAAACGCAACAACTGAACGATCCAGAATTGACTAGCGGTCAAGGAAGATTGGAAAGTTAACCTACCAATGATGTAGTTAGCACAAAGTGCACCGAGCCAGTCTACCACAGGCAAATACCCACTCACGTTGAAGTACGTTCGGCACCCACGCCTCCGGGTTGTAGCCGATAACACGCCTGTCTCGGGAAGAGCTAGGCGTGAAAAAAGGAGAGCTCGCGAAAACTTGACAGCCGTTCAGAAACGGACTAAACAGAAGATGGTAGGGGGACTCGACTGTTTTCCACAGTCGCGAAGTCGAAATGAAACGATCACCAGAATTCTGGAATGAGTTAATGGGATCACGGAAATTAGGTGGTCGGTGGCAGAACCAATTTGTCGTTACTGGCCTTTAGGGGAACGTATATATGCTGACGGTCAAGACGAGTAAACGGTGGCCAGTGGCACGATACACCGAGGATGTGCCGAATGAAGCATCTGCGGAGTCTGACCTAATTGAAACGGAATGACCATCCGTGGCATACAGGCGAACTTTTAAAGGTGTGAAACGGTGTACACAACTGATGAATTATGTGAGTAGCGTTTGACTGTGTCAAAGCTTCGCCCCTGTATCTGATGGGAAGTTGATACCATTTTGCACCTTACTATCCAAAAAACGTCCAAGAAAGTCCAATGGGACGCTTGAAAATGGTCACTTCCTATGAAATCTCCGAAAATGAGGCTTTTGGTTTCGTGCCTAGTCGCTTATAACCAATAAGTTCATGTTGGGCAGCAAACACAACGCAATCGAAGACACTGTTTCATCAATATTGTGTGCGCAATAAAAAAAGCTCCCATCACCCAGCTACGTGGAGGGTGAGGGAAACCCAGGAAAATATCGATTTACGGCTTCATTTTGGAGCGTGAATGCTAAAGCCAGAAGCGCAGTCACGTTGGCACGTGCCTGCTCCAAGGGTTCCAACCACGGAAAGGGATTACACAGACGGTTGACGAAGGTGATGGATGCAGCTTTGATGGTGACGGATGGACGGCGTTCCAAAATGCTAGTTATTGTCTTTAATTAACAGTGGGCCCTTATTGCATCGCTCGAAACATATCCCTAATACACCTTACCCATTCCTGATCTGTGGGTAAATGTATTGCAGTTGGAAACCTTGTGTAACTTGCATGCATTCGGTAGCTTACGATGATAATGATGGCAAAAACGGTAGTACGGTTGCGCAGAAAAGATCATCATACAGATATTCTCAGATCTCTCTCAAACTACTGTTGATATAAAATGGCAACTAGTGCATACAAGAAGGGAAAGAATCGTGGGCACACTAAACCAGCACAGAGGTACTTACGTTTGACAAGGAATTCTCTTCAGTAGAAAAATCGTTGCCGTCGTTCAGGAAACCGATAACTGCGATCCCAGTGCGCCTACAGTAGGCATCCAAGGCTGTCCGTTCATCAGGTGGCAATGTAGTGTAAGTTGCGAGACGTTCAAATACGATCAATCCGAAACTTAAGGAATCTGACTGTTCCAGCGCAGCCAACAGAGGTGATTGTGTCCATAGTTGCGCATGCTGTACATGTACCACTCTATATGGAACGAAAAGATGCTCCAAAATATCAGTTAAATGCTTTTGTCCATCAGAGACTTTAATCAAGAGCACCGCGTGGCGACCACCACGAGCGGAACCAGCCGGTAAGTAAGGCGTGGGAGTATCGGGAACGAATGTTTCCAGATTATGCTCCTTCGAGTCGAATACGAGTGGACTGAGATGATAAAGTTTAGGATTCGCACTGGACGTGTGCAGCTCGCACAAAATAGTCGGTCTATCGCACTTTGACAGAGATGGAAACGAGAAATATGTCAAAGCAGACCAAAACAGCAGAAGTCCTATCAATAAAATCTTCAGAAGTTGCCATCTCGGAAGGAATTGTGCTACGAAAGGTTTCTGTCGGAGCGACAACGCCGGACATTTTAGAGCCATTTCATACTAGCTCATAACCTGGAAAACAAAAAAATATCACTCTGAAGTGCAATGTGGAAGAACATGGAATACCCACAGAATCTTTCCTGCTAATGACAACATTTCTTACCAGGCCCTTGTTCCCAAGAATCTCCAAACCCGCTGCATTGTTAGAAAAGAAATAGCTGGATTCTTTTTGTCCTACCTGGACTCGAATGATCTAGTCGGTGAGATAAGATGACAACAAGTTCAATCGCGTGAATCGCAGGCTCCGTAAGTATATAACCGAACAATGAGCTCTAAAAACTGTACTCAGAACAATTTTCTGAGTCCCCCTGGTTGAGGTGATAGCCATGAGGGTTTGAAATACCCATTGATGCACCCCAGTTGATCGCACTGTGGTAATCCCCAAACCAGTCACCAGATGAAGAACGCGGTTCACCGTGGATGAGTCCAAGATGTGTCGGTGCTTAATGCGCGAACTTATTAATTGAGGGCTACTTGGTTCGAATTCAACCCCAGCATCTGGACTGCTCCTCTTCAGGCCCGGGCAACTTAATATCTTAGCTTTCGTGTTTCCTTCGGGGTACACAGTAAATCGGTACCCCACAATGCGTTACAGCTTGACAAGCCGCTCAAACGAATGATATCGAGTCTGGTTAATAGCGCTCAAAGAGAAATTAGAAACAAACTGTGTTAGAAGCATTGAGTTCACCTAGTGCTGAGGCACAACTGACAGGATTTGATACACATATAATTATACGTAATGCAACATGTCTGCGCCACAGTGGATGCAGCTGAACCACTGATACATGACCTCCTGCTAGCAGGGTGGCGGAAGACAGTATTCGATCTTTAACAAAAAAACAGGGAAACTGGAGATATGCATGGTATCAAGTATGCATGGTAACCAAGTAATTCGCAAATTTTGAGGGTATAGGTGCGACACCTGGAAAATCTCGATATTTGTCCAAATTTGGCGGCTATGATCATAATCAGAAAGAAGAGCTGGCTCCAAGTGATGTGAATGGATTTAGGAAACAACAAAAATATCAACACATGTGACGAGAATCGTCAACGCTAATTGCATGTCTGACAGTGTATCGGGGTCCCCATACGGAGAAATGGCAATGACCAGTGAAACTGAATATACTGGCAATGGCTTTTATACAGCGAGGAGGACTGCTTCCACCTTGCTAAAAAAATTTCATTGTATGTCAAAACCTTGTCTCTATATTTCAAACTTCCGGTCGTGTGAGTTTAAGGAGACCTCTCCAAAGGCCTCCGTACACAAAACGGTGCTCGTCATGGGTGCTCACTATATCAACTCCTATTTCGTTTCGTGATCGATGAGCCAATTAGATGAAGCATGAAAGGTCTTCAAAGCCCTAGTATTTAAGCGGTCTCTGACGAAAACCTTGCTGACCTGAAATATGCAGACGACATCGTACTTGACTGAAGATGAGAAGGTGCAGGTGAACTTAGATGGACTAACCAAAGTCTCATGGTATGAACTTTTCACGCACAAGGTGTAAGGTCATGCTCCTGGACATGCAGTCACTGAACACGGTGCTTACAATCCAGGGAAAGGGACTCGAAGTTGGGAAGCGAGACCAACACTGGAAGGTCCCAATAGCCCCTAATGAAAACCTTGTCAATCTAGAATATGCAAACGTTATCATAATCAGAATAACCGTTCAGCAGTAGCACCTTGGACATGCAGCCACTGAACACGCCTTCGAAATTGTGGAGCGTTTAACATAACTTGGAAGTTGCATTCGTTCTGGGGGTGTTGTAGCAGATGACGTCGAAGCACAAATCTGCAAGACTCTGGTCGCGTTTGACAAACTGGGACACCTAATGCGTCAAAACGGTATATCCCCTAATCTCGAAGGACGAATGTATCAGGCTACAGCATGGGTTGTTTTGCTGTATGGCTATGAGACTTGGCCTGTTCGAGCAGCGGAACTGAGACGCGTTCAGGAGTTCCACAATCGTTGTCTCAGAACCAAACCTCATCATCATCGACAGCATGACATCAGTGTTCAACACCGATCCTTCACTGCCGTGTGGGTTAGTGTCAGTGAATCGGTAACGAGGCAATTAGAAAGCGAGCGTTTGGTTGTGCAGCGGGGAAATCCATTGAAAAGTGTGTCCAGCGCTACAAGCTGCGTCGCTTAGGCCATACATTGCGTACGCCAAAGCATCGTTTGCCGAACAGAGTGCTGATTTCCGTTCCAGATCCACAGGGAGGCAGGAGAGAGGTGGGAAACTCTTGACCTGGCAGAGGGGTATGAAAGGCATTACGAAATGTTTGGGAGCTGTCGGCGCTATTCGCCTACCAGGATGGGGATCGCGTGATCTCCACTGAGCCTGGTTGGAGACGTTGCAAGATATGGCTGCAAATCTATGTCAGTGGCGTTCTTGTTGTCAGTTTGTATCCAGACTGCCTGAATGAGTGCCTCAATCATCATCATCATTCATCATCATCATCATCATCATCATCATCATCATCATCATCATCATCATCATCATCATCATCATCATCATCATCATCATCACATCA